CGCTACGTACGCACGGCGGTCACTGGCTCTATGTTGTGTCCTCTTAACTAAAGTTTCAAATTACTTTGACTAAAACGAATAAACATTAACAGGAATCGGACATTTATTATTTATATCCGATTAATCATTTTAAAAATAAACTATATATTATATAATCATGATCAAATTATGAATATATGAATTAAAATACGCATATTTAACATTTATTAGTTGGATCATAAAATAAATTTAGAAAGCACGACGGTGGAGGGAGACAATGATTCACGCGGTAGTTCATAAAGGGGAAACCAATATTGAGTAATAATATATCTTTGTGAAATATACAAAGAACCAAAACTAATAATCACAAAGAAAAAGTAAAAAAACGGGGCTCCGAATACGTGTAGAGGCATGAAGAGTGTGTGAGTAGCACGCTCCAAATCATAAAATGGATAGTATTTTTGGTAGGGATTTGTTGGCACGGAATACATTCCTATCCATGTCCGATATCAATATTAGAATCTGATTAAATTTAAATTCATATCGAAAGAATTTGTTGGCACTTAGTACCTTTTTTTCTATCCTATGTCTTAGAATCCAATTAAATTTAAATTCATATCGAAACGTCCCACAATGAAAGTAATATGCTTCCTAATAGAGACGACTACCGTAACTAGAAAAACTCAAACCTGAGACATCTGATTAATGAGAAGAATTACTTACCACTCTACCACAATTTTTTTATCGATATAAGTTGACATCTAGGGGTTGGCATAAACACCGAAAAACCGAACCGAACTGAATTATTTTGGTAATTCGGTTTCAGTATTTCGTATTTCGGTTCGGTATATGGTTTTGTATTTTTCGGTATTTCGGTTCGGTTTTTGGTATGTAATTTTTGTGTAATTCGGTATTTCGGTTTACCGAAATATATTAAATTATAATATATATATTAATTATTAATATTTAAAAATAAATATTATAATTTAAAATTAAAAATAAATGTTTGTCTTTTCAAACTTTTCCACTTTACAAAACCACTTCCCAAATGGCAAAAATTACCGTTCCCACTTCTCACGTCTAGTCGTCTACAGACTATAGCAGTGTCGACCGTTCCGGCGACCAGCAGCACACAACAACTGCCAATTGACGAGCAGGCAGTCGTAGCACAACACCGACCGGTAAATTTCAATGTTATAACAAGGCTAAATTTCAATGTTAATGACAATTTATTATTTTGAATCATACAATAATTTGAAAAACAGAGTAAAATAAGCAAAAAGAAATAAACATAAATAAAATAAACAAAAATATTACAAAATTTTAAAAAGTCCATAACAAAAAACCGAATTAACAAAAACCAAATCGAAATAACAAAAAACAAACCGAAATAATAAAAACCGAACCGAAATTATTTCGATTCGGTGTTCGGTACATGTTGTACAAGAACCGAAAAAACCAAAAAAAAAAAATGAAACCGAATCGAAATACTGAATGCCCAGCCCTATTAAATGACATCCCTTATTCCTTTCCAATTCCACATTTTCACCTCATCACAACACACCCTGCATTCCTAAGCACTCACTAATCGCTAGTAGCTATAGGATGTTCGTGATTTGATTTTGTCAATTAATTGGTGTATAGTTTTAATGGACTTGAGAAATAATTTGATGAGTCGTTAATGTTAGGGTAAGATAACAAATAAAAACATTGTTTTTCTTTGATATACTAAACAAATAAAGTAATTTTTAATTCTAATTCCTTATTAAAAAAATGATTCAAGACTCAAGAGTTAAAAAAAGATTGAATTTGTGACTATCAGAATATGATAGTAAGAGAGTAAAACATTATTTGACCTCTCTCACAATTCTGTTGGCCTTTAAACTTTGTTGCATTATTAAGTGACAATATATGCTAGTCCTATTAATACTAGTTAAAGAAGACTTTTTACTCACTCTTGTTCATCATCATTTTATATTCTCCTTAATGTAGGAGGTATCACGTGAAATGACATGATGCTTTGTGTGACAATTAACTCTAAAGTAGTGTATATTTAAAAGTAGAGCAAACAAGTAAAGTAGCTACCCTTCATCACTTGTTAAAGGCAAGTACCATGCTTCTCCCTCGCGCGTCACCCTTTTTATTTCTTTAATTCTTTCAATTGTTATCATAATAATACCAACATTCACTACGACTTTGGATCTCAATTTGAAATTAATATTTATTTATTAAATCTTAGTTTCAAATCTCTTTTTTTTTTTATAAGACTGTGGTTTAAAATTTTAAATTATTATTTTACTTTATTAAATGTAAAACTTGACTCATAAAATTTATATTTTACAATTTATTTTTATATTTTTATACGTTTTGATAGTTTTCACAAATTATGAGTTTTTTTGTTAATGAAAAGTGATACATCTAATGAAATTAAAACTACATGTCCAAAAAAACCAAATAGAGATGCACTTTCTTAGTACATTGTCTTCATCACCAATCTGTCATTTTACAACATGAAGTTACATGATGTTCACTACTACTAACAAGGATGGAGAAATATTAACCTTTCACTTTTTAGTAAAAACTTTCCTAGTTTCTTAAGGATAGTTTGATAGACTGAAATATGAATATAAAGTGAGTGACATAACTGAATCGAGTCTCATCCCTTCGATTCCTCATTGCATATACTTCAACGAGAAAGGAAAAAGAGCTTTGTCACGTGCAAGATCATATTGGGCAAAGAATATTTTGCTATAATTTTGTCTACGAAAATCTATCATATGTTGAATTTGAGAGTCAAATAATAAATAATCATCCAACACGATTCAAAAATACATACTCTAAATCAGCTTAATTTCAAATCATATTCAAACGCCGCTTCTTATCTCTCTAAAACTTCAAATATTTTTCACATTATTAGTTCAAAAACAAGTAAAAACTCAAAACTTAAAACTAAAGAAAACATATGATAATGTAAGTTTTTGATTGGATAGAAGATTGAATGTATAAGAAGAGTGTCATATGCGGCTTAATGTCAGCATAAAACAAGCCAATTAGGTCCCCACACTCAACTCTCAAACAGACAACATCACCATTCTCCCATCCTCTTTTTTAATTTCTCAACCACTCTCGTCCATCAAGCGCGTGATCATCAAAACCAGCTGCTTAATGCCACGTTTCAATTTGTGGGTCCCATCATACGGACCTCTAAATTAAATTAAGAAGAAAAAAAAAGAAAAGAGAAAAATAAAGTGTAATCTCATTTCTAATTGTTGCCTTCTATTCAACACCAACACAAAAGTGTGTGTCAATTGACATCTCGACATTTACATTAATTCCATGTATAGATATTCATATCCATCCGTCTCAAAATAAATATTGTTTGAAAATATAAGAGGGTAAAAAGTAAAACAATATTTTTAATTATATATTCACATTTATACGTATTTTTCTAATAGTGGTCAATGAAGAAATATTTAAACTCTCCAATTCATTGTATTTGTCATGTTTTGTTTGACATACTTTTTAGGAAAAATATTAATTAAAGGATAATTTTGACCAATTTGATCGATTATCCTTATTGTTTACTATTCTTTATTTGATGTTTTTCTCTTTAAGCCATATTAATTGTTTTCTATGTTTATAACTAAGGATAAAGATGAAAACAAGTAAATAATTATATCTTTAATTTTTTAAAATTATTATTATTTTGGACCATCTACTTTTAATAAGGATGAAAGCGGAATATATCGGTTGAAGTAAAAAACAATGATAATATAGTAAATTGTACTTTATCTATACTTAATATATTTTAGCGGATACAAAATGATTAATGCAACACCTATTTTGAAATGAAAAACATAATACTTAACTAACGATAAACATATTTTTACATATTAAAATCACTTAAAAATATTTATAACTAATTTTAGAAGCATTAATGATTGGTAAACTTAAAAAATAATTAAAACTAATAGAATTGGGATATCTTTTTATATATCACGTGAAAAATAATTTTCTAATTCTTTTTTATATCAATGAAATAGATAATCAGGGGAGAGATCAGAATATAAATAACAAGCACATGAATTTAATTAAGTGTTAGATAAAATATAATTTCAGTTATAGTATGTACAATGCTGCCAAACGAGGCGCGAAAATAACAGGTTTAAGTTACCATTAGTTTCGATTTCAAAATTCTGTTATTACTACGCGTGCCATAAATGATGTTTATCACCCTTCGTTGTCACTTATCGTCTTTCTTAACCAGCTCTTGAGCCTCCCTGCGCAGATAAATTTGAATAAATTGATTAACTTTAGCTTAAATTTTATATTTGTTTCAGTTCAGTAAATACATGTAAATTATTAGGGAGATCGCATTGACTAAAAAAGCAACAAACTAAAATTTGATACTCCCTCCGTCCCTATTTAGTTGTCCACTTTAGAAATGACACACATATTAAGGCAACAATAATTAGCATAGTGAAGTTACAATTTTACCATTATAGTATAATTTATAATTTCAAAATAAATTCACTCAAGATAACTAATTAATGCTGGGAAGTTCATAAGTTTATTTACTTTATTTATGATAACTTTGTTTAAATAATGGTATAATAGAAAAAAATTTATTGTCCTTTCTTGATTTATTAAAATGAACAACTAAATACGGACAACTAAAAGAGAAAATATGGACAACTAAATAAGGACGGAGGGAGTATCAATAAACTTCAAATTTTCACTTCATCTGTACAATAATTGAGCTAAAAGTCAATATACGAATTCAACTGAACTCGATAGTTTAAATTCAAACTTTATATTTCTATTATATATATATTTTAACTAATTCAGATCGAAGCTACTAACATGATATATACTACTTAAAAATTTAAAATTCTGAATTCGAAGCTACAGTTGTATACACATAAGTATTAAGAGACATCCACGCACTTCGATAATGTGTATGTGTGTGTATATATAGCCACTTCATGGCATCCTGGCCATTTATAATAATATATAAATTAATGCAGCTACACTTTTTTTTCCGATTTTTATTTGCCTTTGCCACCACTATCCCCACAATCTCATTTCATTCCTCTCTCATCTTCCTTACACTTTTTCCTTTTCCAACCTCTTCCTACCCTTTCCATTCAACAAAAATCGCCGTCATGCCTGAAAAAGAGTGGATTCAATCGGCAATCATGGATGACTCTGTCGTTGCTGAATTACTCTTGCGTCTCAGCCATGCCAATCCATCTCCATCTCCGATTCCGGCTAAGTCGAAGAGGGCAGGTTCACCGCTTGAGTGGTCTGTGCGTCGGAGCAGGTCTAAACCAGTTTCTGTTAATGCTAAGAAGGCGGCTCCACGTGCTAGTCCTACTACTCCTTTGTCATGGAGTGGCGCCACATCTGTTAGTTGTGGAGGTGGCGGAGGTAGTGGTGGCGCCGTTGATGGTGGCTGTGAAGAGTCTAGCGGATCTCCTCATCCGCTATACAAAACTCCAAGCAGCACGAGATCTAAGGTTTGGATGTTTGTTCCTCTTCTTCTTCTTCTCTCTCTCACTCGATGTGCGTGCTTTTCGTGTACGACTATTGGTTTGTCGATCGTGTGTATCGTTTACAGTGAACGGCGGATTCTGTGTTAATTTATCTGGTGTGTGGTGGTTATGGCGAGTTGTTAATTAGTTGACGTCAGTCTCTTCATTTGAGTCGCGTGTGTCATTCGATTCGTTCCTCGTGACTCTTTCAGAAATTAGGATTTTATTTTATTTTTAGTTTCAAAAGCGTCCATTGGAAGCAAATAGATATAGCAATGGTTTTCATTGGTTTCATCACCTGTCTCTGTTTTTTCAGTTAATAAAATAACAAACTCACTTATCGGATTAGCTTCAGTTCCGTAGGTCTCCGGTGAGTAAACGGCGGTCGTCGTTGGTGGCTCCGTTTTATTCTCCGCGTGTTGACCAAAGTACCCCTTACCATATATAAATCTCCGGACTTTCCAATTTCCCCATATTCCAATTTAATGTTAACTTATCTTTATTAAAGTTACTATTAAATGAATATTTACAAGGATGAGAAAAGTGGTGAACTTTACTTTCAACGTATGTTGTCAGACGCACAAGATTGAATGACTCTTCACGTTTTTCTCTCACCACCCGAATCTCCCCATTATTTTGTGGCGTCTCCGTGTCACAATTTCTACTTCCAAATTACCCAAACACCCTTTAATTTCGTGATAATATTTCGAAGATAAAATTTTAAAATCTGATTCAAAATTTATGCCCTTAGCCCTATCTTAAGGGCAATTGAGTCAATTTGGCCGACCTGATGAAGTGACTAATAAAATGTCTCCAGTATTTGTCGGGGTCGGTTCACTTTTGAACCATTGGATTTGGTACTGAATTGCAAAATAAGCCAACTCCTCCATTAGTCAAACCCCTTTTTGTCCTCACTTTTTAGTCTATCTACTTACTTTTTTTTTGTGTCTTTAGCTATAATTAGTTGGGGCATTTACGTCAATTTAAACATTTTAGTTTGAAATTTTGATAATGAGTAAAGACTAAAGAGGATGGCGTGTGTTCGTGGCAAATAGGTCTGCGTTCAGTTTGGTGGTAGTGTTTGTTAGTGGTTAAGCAGTTTGGTGGAGTAAATTTTTTTTTAACTTTTTGTAAACGTGGAAAATTGAGAGGAATTATAAAGTGTGGTAGGATGTAGAGATAGCTTAAACTGTGGGTTCAGAGTCAGAATCTTGAATTTAAGCTTTGTCGTTTTATTCATACCCACAATCTAAACGACATTTGGTTGACAGCAAATGAAAAGGAATATTTTGGGGCACCCCACAACCGTACGTAGTCAAATATCAGTGATTGTTAGAAATTTAGAATATGTGCAGCTTCTATACACACCTGTTTTTTTCGTACTCAGTAACAAAATTACTTCAGATTCTGTCACGGTCAAAAAAGTTGGGACTATCATGAAATTAGTCAAGTTGCACGAAAGCTGATCTGGAAATCACGGTAAAAAATAAATAATAAAAAACAGTGTAATACCTATCGCTTGGCAGCTTCTTGTTGTTAGTACTCCTCGGCGAGCTAATCAAGAAGTGGCAGCTGTATAAGTGAAAGTGTTTAGTCAAAGAAGTGTTTTTTAAATGGAGGGGTTTAGCAGAATTGCATGTGTTAAAAAGGTGTCCTAGGGGTTATTATCTACGACAAAATAGGTGTATTGTTGTTAAAGGAAACTTCATTTTATATCTGTCTCTGGCTTATTAACAAGTTTTACTGTCCCTACTTCTCTTACTTGTCTAAGAAAATTGTCGACCATATAACTTTCTTTGGTGTTTGGATAAGGAGGACATGTTGGTCGCAGATTGTGTCCCATATATTTTTTGGCTTACATTGTGATTAATGCTTTGAACACACTGTAGTGTGCTAAATATGTATGCAGATATATCGACATGCCTTTAATATATACTCTCTCTTTGCAATGAATTATTATACACTATTTTCTTGAAAGCGAGCGCGCTTTTGATTGGACATATCATTATCTGCAGATTTTGCTGGACTCTCAGGTTAATGGTACTAGTGATGCTACCACCAGCAAAAGGTCAAGAAAGAAAAAGGTTTGTTTTTACCCTCCACTAAGTTATATATAGCCCATTTTGCTTTTAGGAATTGAGATAGAATAGTTCATCTTAAGTGTAACATTTGTAAATGCAAAGTAGTTTGTAGTTTGAAGTTTGAAGGAAGACCCATTGCTTCATCACTTTACTTTGATTTTTTACTAAGTGCGTGACCCTGCGACGTAAAATGTTCTATTTTCATTATTCCAGGACTACTAAGTCACTTTTTCATTTTTCCTTTTTATCCCGTCTGTGATGAGCAGACATTGGCTGAGCTGAAAATGGATGAGATCTTGCTAATTAAGGAAAGAAAGCAATTGAAGAAGGTATTCTTCTTGGCTATTGTGAGTAGTTATACTTATAGTTTGATTGTATTATAAGTTCCTCAATTAACACCACTCTTTATGCAGGAAGTGGCTTTACTACGCGCTAGCGTGGAGAATCAGAGGGATACAAATCAAAAACTGAAAAGAATGAAGGTAATATGATTATCTATTTGGCTGGCTGGTCTATTTTATACTGTATGATACCTGTTGCTTTTTTTCTTTTTTAATCATAGGCAACCTTAATATTCTTGCACAACTGTCTTTGTAGACTGATTTTATCTTTGCTAGTGAATCAAGATCACTTAATGGTTAGCGCGAATAATTAGCATGTGGATGTATTTTCTTGATGAATTCCCTAAGTAGTTTTTCAACCCTCACCAAGAACATAAGACTGCCACTTGAAACTACGAATAAGCAAGCTTTACCTACTTTTTCTCGACTACAGATCAAGAAAGAACGGAGGTATAGAAACTGTATACTAACTTAATGTCCTTTTCTCCAGCTTGATGTGCTCCCTCAGCAGGCAAATGAAAGAGGTACAACTGTTTCATATGATGGGAGTTCGGGTCAGTATCAGCAAGAGGTTCTACCAAGCTATCCAGCCATTCCCATCTTACTGGAAAAAGTTGCAAACAAGGTTGCAGTATCGCCATCATCTCTGGAAAAGCAGCAAGATTTCGCAGCTTTGGAGTCCAAATTTGTACTCCCAGACCTCAATATTCCATTTGGCGAGGATTCTGGCTCTGACATTCTCTGGGGGTGAACTGAAATACTTCTGCATAACAGGGGATCCTCCAACACAGAAAGACAAGTATAAACTAGTAAGGGCTAACCCTGTTATAGGATGAATTATGGATTCAGTAGTAAGTCAGGACTTTCTTTCCTTCACCACTTGTCACACAGAAGCTGCCAAAGTGGATTTTTAGTCATGAAGGTACTGAGGGTAGTTAGGATCTGTGATATTTCTTTGAGAAGATGTCAACCATAGGTTAGAGATCCTAACTTACTAGTTGCAGTAGACATTTTTTTTTCCTGACAGGTTTCTTCAGTGTCCGATTCTTTGGGGCCAACCCTCATTCCTTCATAGTTTTTCTCTGGAAATATCTACAGATAAAGATGTAACTATTTTATATATCAGTTGATCACATTACTTGAATACCATAACTCTCTTTTCTCAATTGATGCATACACTTGCATATTACATTATTTGTCTGCATATATTTTCAGACCACTTCAAGCCAACTGAGGCTTATTTTTTAAAATAATGAGGTGAAAGGATGTGTTTATCTACATGTTTAATATCGTGTCACTCCAACTTTGTTCTGAAGCTTGGTGGAACTTTAATAAAAAATGATAGCATTTTATCTCTATATTCTGTTCTGTATTACAAAAATAAATCTGCAATTCCCTCAATTGTGCAAGGAAAATCCCCTCAAGCCGTTATAAAGATCATTACAACTGGGAGGAAAAACTGGCTTCAGTGATGAAGACGAAAGCACACTATACGAAGAGGCAGAGACTTGATGACATCTCTTCAAGTTTATCTCTCTCAATGATGTACAATTTTCTGCTGTCACTCCTTTACAGTCTTCCAAGTTCAACTTCAATAGGGGAGGACATCGGCTACCAATCATGGCCAGGCCTTCATCACTTAATGCTGCCCGAAGATTAGGCAGTTCAGCGCCTATTCCTATATGTCTAATCAATGAACAACCACAAAAATCCAAGTTCCAGCACACCTCAAAAGCAGAAGCAATTCACGCCTCTGTAACCCTGCTACTGTACATATCAAGAGTCTCCATGTTGGGGAACATTAAAGCAGCTTTTGTGAGAGAGTCCATCATTCAGGTACGATGCAAATTTCAAACTAACAGTCTTGATTCTCGTGTTCTTCACACCATTATGAAAATAATCTTTCTCCCCCAAATCAGTATCATTAAGATCTATCATCTCGCAACCAATAATATGGTCCAATTTAACTGTTTCTAATGAAGGACAATTTCTTGCAAGCGTGAAGAAGGTGGAAATGGTCAAATTCAATACATGCAATAGCTGAGATTAATGGTAACAAGAGATTGTAGATATTGGGATAAATCATTCATAGACTCATCAGTCAATAAATTTACATCAATCAGAAATAAGCTCTTTAAGTGTCTGATATGCATACAGAAACAAAGAGATACAAGGATAATGTGACATTTCCACACCTACAAAGCGAAAACCTCTGCAGAGGGAGAGAAGTTTTGGCTACCAAGAAAAGGAATTCATCCGAAATAGTGAAGTCAGAAACTTTAAGTTTCCAATAAACTTCCATACATGGTTCAGAAACTTCAAGTGTCCTTAAAGCATCCAATGTTTGGAATATTGGACACTGAAATCGAACTCAAAGCAGCACAAGCACGCTCTATAGAAAAGATCCCTTTCAAAGTTACTTCCTCCCTAATGCATTGTAAATTCAAACAATTCCTATACAGAGCAACCATAGACCGATCACTAATCCCTGAATTCCCAGAAACATTAATCTTACTCAAATTAACAGATAAAACCTCAATCCCAGAATCAGTCACAAACAATTCGTGACGATTTAGAAAACTAGGGTTTCTTGGATACCTAATGTCTAGCTCTTCCAAAAACTGAAACGACTCTGCTATAACATACAAACAAGAGTCTCTAATTGATGTGAGATTTCTGCATTTCAAACCATTTAATTTACGCCCCAATTCCTTCAACCCCTCTATGGGTAAAAAACTGTGTTTAGACAAGTCAAGTCGTACTAGATTGGGTACATACTTGGCAATAGTAAAGAGAATAAGCTCAAGATCACCATCGAAATTGCTCAGATCAATGGAATTAAGATGAGGAAATCGGTGAATGAGTTTAGATAATGTACCGTGATGTATTACAGACAAATGGAGTCGTAGACCATTGGTGATAGAGACCATTGAATATTAGTTCCCAACATTCTTCAGGAAAATATTTGCACTCTTTCGCAGTTGCTCTTTGCCTCCGGTGTCCCGTGATCATATTGGAGCCACGATTAAATTCAATAAAGAAAAGGCTAATATATTCCTTGGTTCATTTCGATTTGTTTGTTGGTAATTTTTAATTATACATGACTTATTAGCTATGCATAAATAGATAATGAAGAGATTATAATACATGAATTATTTGTTCGGAAGTTCTGTTTTGTTGTATTAGAACTTATAACTATACTATTTTTTTTTGTTTATTTTTAATTGTTATGTTTATTTTTACAGTCAAACGATAAGAGCTTTGATTAACATTTTATGATTTTTTATCTCTTTCGTATAATTTTGGAATATCTAATTTTTTGTTTAAAATATCGAATTGATATAATCTAATTTCACTTTAAAAATTAGTCAAATTGACTTTCGAAAAACGCAGCATGACAATTAAAAGTGATCGAAATGAGTATTTAGTTATAATGTTTTGTTCTTTAAAAATGAGGCGAGGCAAGGCAAGAATATAATTGGCACGTGAAAGCACTTGAATCAAAGTATGCGTGGAGTGATAGGGAGTAAATTTGTTACTTAAGTAGTAGTTTTTATCTATGTATAATAATGTCTGCATGATTATTCAATCTTTTATTTAGCGTAAAATAATACATAAATTGATTCGTTATTTCCTGAATCGTTATTCAATCTTTAGTTTCACATAAAATAATACATGAAGCTTTAAAGACGTTTGTTTAGCTGTCGCTTCTTCTTCTCCTTCTCCGCTTCCTCAAACTTTAAGATAATTTGTCATAGGAGTTCAATTCTTCAGTTAAGACGCTTCAATTTTCCTATTTAAGACATCAAGACACTGTCTTTAGTTCAGTTAAAAAATTCAAGATTGCGCGTCTTAAGTTCCAACTTTTTGTGATCAAATCAAGGATATTGTGTCTTAAGTTCAAAATTTTCAAGTACACAACTTCGTGGCACAATGTCTTTAATTTTTTCAATTCAAGCTTTAGAGTTTGAGCTTTAGTGACCTGAAGTTTAGATAGTTCAAACTTCAGAGACAATCTGTCATGTGTCCCCAAGATCGATTTATGTAGACAAAACTTTAATGCTTATGTCTGAAGTTCAATATTATGGTTCCAATTTCAGGCCATTAAGGAAAATAAGAAATGAGCGCAACAGTAGTGACTCTTTTAATGTAGTTATTTGCTGATTAAAATTATGCATATGTATTTACCAAAAAAAAAAACGATGCATATGTGATATGTTCATATCAGTGGCCAGCCAAGAACTAACGGAATTGATTTGATTCAGTCCATTTCAAATTTAAATACTAATTGGTCCGGTCAATAATTTTATCTTACATATTCCACAATGTCATTCGGTCTTAAATTTAATACCAAGTAACAATTGATTTGCTTCTAACTGTGTACAAAAGAATATTAACAAAACAATGGTTTTATATATACCAAGATAAAACTATTGATCAACGACAGTAGGATCAGGAGTATTTGAAGCAGTGAGAGGGGAGAGGGAAGAGCCATCAACGTAAGGGCATTAATAAACACACACTTGTTACCAATCTTTCAATGTTTAACATAAGTAGAAACACTGGTAGAGGCAAGGAGTAGGGAGGAAGAAGAAGATGGAGAAAGAATTGGATTGAGCAACGAATCAAAAATGGCAGAAGCTAGAAACTAAATTGGATTTTTGAAGAGAAAGAAAAAGTTGGCAGAATGAATAAGGTTATGGGTTTGTAGTCAGTTTACAGTAAAATGGCGAAGGTGAATTATAAAGAACCTATTTATACATGCTTGTATCAAATCATATCTAATCTTATAATTACACAACGATATTTGGAAACCATATCTAATCCCAGAAATAATCTGAAGAATCAAAACTTAATCATAAGAGTATACTCTAAATAAGAACATCCAACGTGATGTTGCTCCTCTGTTTCCACCTACAGTGGTTCAACTTTCAACTAATACAGGAGAACTCAACATCTGGTTAATAAGAACGAGAAAAACTGGAAAATGCAGGATGAGTAAGGGAGGGGGGTATGATTGCAGCGTGCAGCTGTGAAACAAATGTGAACAGATAATGGCAGACTGCAGAGTCTAAATAAATTTTCATCAAAATTTACAACAGATAAGAAAAACTGGACTAGTTCTATGACACGATTGACACAGTCTAAATGTTTGAAATCAAAGAGACACAATGCATAATATGTGCTACATACACCAGACAAAAACTAGCCTGAGTACACTCGACATCCATGGTGCAAGTAAAATCCCCTCAAGCTATCAGTAAAAGCAGAGCAACAGGGCGGAATAACTCTCCTTAGCGATGAAGACGAAAACACCAAATTATTCAGAGAATTGATACTAACTTGAGGACACTTCTTCAAGTTTATCTCTCTCAATGATCTACAATTCTTCACCAATGCATGTAAGCCCTCTGCTGTCACTCCTTTACAGTTCTCCAAGTTTAATTTCAGCAGTCGAGAACATCTGCTTCCGATCATGACCAGACCTTCATCATTTAATGCTGAACCAGCTGCACTTATTACCTCAAGACTAGGCAATTCTGCACCTTTTCCAATATGTTTAATCCCTGAACAGTTATCAAGTTGCAAATCCCTTATCTGATTACACACCTCGAGAACACCAATAATACCTGCCTCTGTAAGGCTAGTACATGATATCACATCAAGAAAGTCCATGTTGGGGCACATCAAAGCAACATTCATGAGAGAGTCATCATCTAGGTAATGGTTAGTTGCCAAATTAACAGACCTGATTCTCGGGTTCTTTACATCATCATGAAAACAATGCTTCGTCCCAAAACCAGTATTTTCCATATAAATTTCCTTTAGTGAAGGACAGTTTCTTGCAAGTGCGTAGAACGTCAAATTGGTCAATCTCATACAACCACTGAGATCAATGGTAACAAGACATCGTAGATATTGGGATAAATCATCCATACACTCATCAGTCAAAAAATCTACTTGAACCAATGATAAATACTTCAGAGACTGGTATGCACACAACAACTTAGAGATACCAGAATATGTGAAATCTGTACACCAACAAAGTGTAAGTGTATTTAGAGGGAGAGAAGCATTGGCCACCATGAAGAGGAATTCATCCGTGATAATCGAATTGGAAACCTCTAGTTTCTGTAAAGTTCGGCTAGAAGTAGCCAAACATTCAAAACCAGAACTTGATTGAGCAATGTGAATCTCAGACACTGAAATCCAACTCAAAGCAGCACAAGTACGCAGTATAGAAAGGATCCCTTTTAAGGTAATAAAAGGGCAATCATCCATCTCAAGGCCTTCCAAATTCAAACAATTCATAGAAAGCGCAACAAGCGACCTATCAGTAATCAAATGATTCCCAGAAACATTGATCTTACGCAAATTACTCATATTCACAGACAAAACCTCAACTCCAGAATCAGTCACAGCCAAATTACTAGCCTCTGATGCAATATCCACAGAATCCAAAACATAATCTGTACTCGGATAGCTAATGTCCAACTCTTCCAAAAACGGAAACAACTCAGCAATAACATACAAATCAGAATCACGCAAAAGAGTTAGATTGCTACATGCCAAAACCCTCAAACCCTTTAATTTCCGCCCTAATTCCTTCAAACCCTTAAACGGTAATTTCTTATGATTCGAGATATCAAGTTGTTCGAGATTGGATGTATACGAAACGGAATTAGCAAGATCAACAAGCACAGGATCAAGGTCACCACTGAAATTACTAAGATCAATAGATTTAAGATTTGAAAATCGATGAATGAGTTTAGATATGGTACCGTGGGTGAGCAGAGTCGAATCGATCACCGATAAACCGATGCGCAGACGATTAGTGAGAGCAAGGAACTGTTTGGACACCATAGAAAACGACTCCAAGTCGGATTTGTGATGAAGACGACTGAATATCAGTTCCCAGCATTCTACCGGCAAATCCTTGCACCGATTCGCCATTGATTTTAGCTAATTAGGGCTAAAAGTTTGCATACAAATGAAACTGACTCGGATATCGAGAGAGAATTCGGAATTCAGTTACGAATTCTGTTCTGGCGAATTTTGGAATTCAGTGTACTTTACAAGTGAATTTTGGATTGAGGCAACTCTACTTTTAACAAATTGTTGAAGTGGGTCTTTATCTTTTCGTTATTGATAAACCAATCCAAGAACTTTTTGATTTTGTCCATTTCAAAATTTAAATTTCAGATCTACAAAGAAATAGCTCCCATCTTATTTTAAAGTGCCTGTTTTGAAATTGAATTTTATTTTGACATGTAGTTTATATTTTTTCCTCATAAATATTAAAATTTCACAATTTTTGAAAAATTATGCAAACTTCTCCATCACTAAATAATTTTTCAATTGAACAATTTTAGTTTATAAATAAATGAAATATCTTAAGATGTCGGATGGGTTGATGTGTAAAGGGGTAAAAGAGGGATGGAAAAGAGGGCGGAGATGTAGTAGAAGAAAGGGATATGTATAATTGGTTAACGAAAAAAAAAATTCGTACTTTCTTTTAAATATTTATAGACGTGATAGATAGTTAGTAGGTAAGAGAGTGTCCCTACTAGTTTATCTTGTTGCCTTTATTAGTATAAATAGGACTACTCCTATGGCTTATTGTTCTTCGATTTCTATGACTATTTAATATTTCGTAGAGTATGTTTGTAGTATTATTTTGTTATAGTGTTGTTATGTTATTATTTGTCATTTATGTTAATATTTATTGTCTATTGTATTTGTTGAGATATGACACTTGATTCTGAAGTCTAAACAAGGATGAACATACCTCTGATATCATGTTAGATATGACATCTAGGCCTGAGCATATTTCAGTTCAAATCGAAAAAATTGACCGAACTGAAAAAAATTTAATTTCGATTTTTGTTTTTCAGTTTGATAGGTCGGTTTCGGTTTTCAGTTTTCAAAT